ATATTTGGTTTCAGGCGGAGTTATATGGGATTGAACGTTTTGAAGGAATAATTGATGCTCTCACTCGATTAAATCTCTCATGTTCCTGCATTATTCTTATATGGCATGGATTCTGTTTTTATGTACTTGTTAATGGCCACATCGTGATTGTGGCAGACTAAATAAGGTCTGCTTTTTTTTTTCCAGGTTTCTCTTCTCATATCCTTACTCAAGGAAATGAGGTAGGTTTTGGTTTGGAACCTGCCACTGTGGAGGCTGTCAAGACACCTAACTAAAAGATTGTTTACGATAGCCACAACCATCTCGTACATGCATCAGGTCTTGCATATTAATAAAACTCTACATTTTTGCACTTACAGATAAGTTAGGTGATTTAGTGTAGCATATGGTTTGACGATCAGTTTAGAGTGTGAGGAGACTATTATTAACATCTATTTACAATATTAACTTTTGAGCTTTATTGTTTTATATGAAACAATTCTTGGAAAAATTACTATGCAGGGACATGTCGGTGGGGAGAGTTTGGGGAAGGAGGTCTTCTCTGGGGAGAATGAAGTGGCAGGAATTTTGAATGGTTTGAAGGAGATAATCTTACCGAGCTCTTATCAAAGGTTATAACCAAGGACTTTGGATAAATATGCAATTTACATGTGCATTTAAGTTTAGAGAAAAAAAACTTGCGTTTTTTTCCCTCAGGTCAAAGATGTTTATGGTCTTGATGATGAAGTTTCCTTTAGAAATGTCAATGTACCTTCAGAAAACCGGCCACGTCCATTGCATCTTGGAACGGCTACACAAATTGGTTAGTGGTTCATTAGGAAGTCTTGGAGTTTTGCAGTAGTAGCTAATATATATAGTGTAGTGCATGAGCCTTGCCTACTGAAGGGATACCTTGTTTGCTGAAGGTGCTACTTCCATCTACGTGTAGTGGCCTGCCTTCTTTGTAAGCAAAACTTATTGAAACATGTAAGGAATCTACTCAATGTACTGAGTCTCAAGGAGAGGAAGATCATCAAGCTGAGGTTTGGGATTGATGGTGGGAAGCAGAGATCGTTGTATGAGATAGGAGAGATTTATGGACTGTCTAAGGAGAGGGTAAGGCAGCTAGAGAGCCAAGCATTGTATAGGCTTAAGCAGAACATGAACAGCCATGGACTCATTGCTTATGCTGATTTGCTTGTCTAGCTCATGTGGAGATACTGGCTTTCAACTATGTGTATACAAAAAAAATATACTTTTGTTATGTAATGGTTTTGTTGATATTTTGAGGAATAGAGTTTTCTTGGATAAGAGTTTTGTTGAAGCAGTCTTCGTATAATAATTTCATAGCTTTCTACAAGCAACACTCATGCTGGTTACAAAAATCAGAAGCCAGCAACACTCATGCTTGTTACTTATTAGTATTCTTTCTTGTAGACTTACAAAGAAGTCTACTTGACAGAGAAAAATATAACATAAGTTCAACACACACTAAAGACCTACAAATCCAATAGAAGACAACTCAAAGCAATGAGACACTAATACATAATAGAACATCCATAGCAATAAGACAACTCATAAGTTCAACACATAACACTAACACATCTAGAGTTTTTCACCACTCATTCTCCGTATACAACAAGTAGTTGAACCATTTCCTGCAAAAAAAAAATATGGTTTACATAATTAGCAAACCAAAATTTCATGTTTGATAAAATTATATCATAGACTTACAAGTACGTCTACAAATTTTAAGCTAACAACATAGACAAACAAAAAATTTGATAACTTCCTAATTATAACATATTATCTTCTGAAAATCATTCAAGACACTTATGATTAACTAACACACACTTTCATAAAAAAAGTTTTGAAAAAACTTAATGAATAATACACAAAACCACTTTTGATAGATTTTACATGGTAGACTACATATTCAATCTACAGACCTGTAGACGTTTTATTCAGTTTACAGGTTGTAGACTGAACATTAGGTCTACGTTTAGGTTGGTTTCTGCGATTGCCAAATTCACGGGTTACTTTCTGTATTTGGAAAAAAAAGGGATTTTATACGAGTAGACTTACTTTTCAGTCTACATTTTTTAAAAGGTTGGTTTTGCAATTGACCAGAATTCGATCAGAGTTTGACTTTTAGAAGTAGACCTATTATGCAGTTTACACTTTTAAATTTATTTGAAAGAGGTTAGTTTTGCAATTGACCAAAGTTGACTTTCTACGAGTAGACAGAACTAAATGTCTATGTAACTGTAGACTGCAGTAAAAGTCTACACTATAACCCGACAGGTTAGTTTTGCAATTGACCAAAACAAAATAGTAGACTTCTTATGCAGTCTACGTTTTTTTTCTAAGTTTTGTAGACTGCATATGAAGTCTACACGTAAAGTAAGTTATTTTCTTAGTTTTGTAGACTGCATATGAAGTCTACACGTAAAGTAAGTTNCTCCACGAAAGTCTACTATGGTAAGTCAAAATTTTGGTCAAATGCAAATCTAACCTGTTTTATGTAGATTTCTTAGTAAGTCTACCAATTTTTTTGTTTTTGGTTTCAAAGGTAAAGATGTTGACGTACTTGTAGGTCTACATTACAAAAAAAATTATTTTGGTCAATTGCAAAAGTAACATGTGCGTTGACAAGTAGATTGCATCGTAAGTCTACACGTATGTGTAGACATATAATACAGTCTACTTTCGCGATACAGATCAGAGATATGACGAAAAGCATGTAAAGAGTTACATTGACACCGGTTTAAAGCTTGTTTCCAAGCTTTTCCACCGTCCAGAATCCAAATATGAGCAAAAGAAGCAACCTTTACGATTCACTTGTGGATAAAATCGAAATTATGAAGTTTGTGTTTATGAAAATGAGAGTTATGAGGATTGTTTAGATGAAAATAGAGAGTAAATTAGAGGAAATGAAGTATTGTTTGTTTAGAAAGTGAAATAAGTGGTTGAAATTTCATAAACACAAGCTTAAAGAGCTCATCAATGGTGGTTTTGGGTGGTTGCAAATATTGATGACAATGGTATTATGGTAAATAAGGAGAAATGTTTAGGGTGTAATAGGTTTTTAATAATTTTCGAAAATAAAATCAGATTTAAAAATAATGGCAATTTGGTAAATAAGTGGAAACATGAGGAGAGTTTAGGTTTTTTAAGAGTGAATAGTAATGGACAAAAAAAAGAGGTTGGTTTTGTGTTTGACTTGAAATATTAGGTTGGTTTTGCAAAAACCCCACGTATACTAACTTAAAAAGTATAATTTATGTTATTTAAAAATATATTTAAGTTAAATATTACTATTTTGTAAACTTTCCTTTTTTATGAAAATATATTATATGTATACTTATTTTCGTTTTAAATACTTTTGTAAATTTTATAAATATTTCCTTTTTGTTTTATATTGTTATTTGGAAGATTTTAAAAAGGAAATACTAATATTTAAATATATTTTTAATTCATTAGGGGTATCATTGTAATCAACCAGCGTGAGCGCGACACATAAGAAAATGACTTCTCAATAATATTATAGAGATAGTTAATTGAACCGTATTACTTAAACTGAACCGGTGGTTATTTATGGAATATAATCTTGGGCTTTCTTTTGTTTTTAAAACAAATTATATGGTTTACTTTTTGGGCTTAGTATTAAAGAAAAACTCCCAAAAACATTGAATAAACTTTCCATCTTACTAGATCAAAAAGCAATTATTATTTTCAGGCCCAAAATTTAATATTTTTAACAAAACAAAATTGTCTATTATTAATCATTTATTTAAATCATGTACTTGAAAACATGTTAATATATTTTTTATTTTAAATAATATTTTTTTTTTGATAAATTTCGATGGTAACTTTTAAATAATTTATTCTTTTATTTTTCTTAAATAATTTACGAATATGCAAAGCAAAACCAAAAACCAAATCTAAAAACTAAAATCCAAAACCAAAAGCTGAGAACGCAGGTTAAATTTTATGCTTTTGTTTATTTACAAAATAAACTATTGCAAATTTTTTTTTTTTTTTAAAGTTGTCATATTTTCAGTTTAAATTAGATTTTTGATTATTTGAGATTTGTTTGTTGGTAATACAGTTCAAACTAACTCAACGGGTCTAAAAATTAAAAACCCAAACCAAAAAACTGAAAATCAAAAATATAAAATTAAAAACTAAAAACCAAAACTTAAAACAAAATCTAAAAATAAAAACTGAAACTAAAAACTAATAAAAAACAATCATCACCACAATTTTTGGTGAACTGATTTTATACCACAACATTCTTTAAATTGAGACAAAACCCAATTATATACATTTTTAATCATAAAAATTCAAGCGCAAATCAAAATATAGTTGGACTCTTAAGATAGAAGCTTAATTTTTTAAAATGAAAGCGCAAACTTTAATATGTTTTAAAGAGGCTTTTCGAAAAAGTCTTCAAAAAAAATTCATTAAATTTCTAAAATTTTCACTTTGAGTTCTATTTATAAAGCGAAAAAAGGCATCCAAAGAAGGCAATATATGGGCTATCTATGTGAGTGCTTCTTGAGCTTATGTTTATGCTTTATGAATTTCTCCGTAAATTCTCAAAACATTATTTACCAAGTAATTTCTTAAGTGTCATCACCATAATCATTTGAAAAAATAATAATGACATGAGTGCTTATAAACTTTATATGGATCACGTCTTATTGTGACATAGTTTAAAACAATTATATATGATATATGATCTAATTATAGAAAATCAAATATAAGATTATAAGTATATTAGTTATTACCATAATTATAATAATCTGAACAAAAAATTAAATATTAGAAGAGATTAACATACTAAACAAGATAATAACAAAGAAACTGGAAATATTTATTTGATTGGTATTTATATTTTTAACGTTTGTAATGATTTTTTTTCCAAATATGGTAAAATTGTATGAAAGTATATCATTATTGGACTTATATTTCATGATAATTTTTTTATATACTGTTGATGCCTTAAATTTCTTATAGTAAAACAAACAGTGAACTGATAATATTAAAATATTTTTTATCAATTAAATTATGTTTAGTTGGACTAACATATTTCTCTAAGAGTTTTAAAAATTCTTCTCATTGTGACACGTGGCTACAAAAAAATGTTGTAATGCTCTAGAATAAATTTATTGTCGATACCATTTAAAAAAACGATTTAATTAGAGTTTTAATATAAATATATGACAATGGATGTTAAAAGATAGAGAACTTTTATATATAATTTTTTGTGACAATTATTTTTCTTTTATATATTTTAGAATTTGAGGTAAAATTAAATAAATACATAAGTGGAGTAAAAAAATAAATAACATAAATTATAAATTAACAAAGAAACTAACTATAGCTTAACAAAAGTTACAGTGTCTCTCTCTCTCTCGTTTCTCTAGAGGGAAAATAATCTAAAATCTCTCTTGATTCACATGAATGTGCCTCTCAAATGAAAAGTGTATTTCAATGTAATAGAAAGACAAAATGTGACATATATGGTAACCAACTCATGGAAGGATGAAATTTTAGAGAATGAGAAAAAATTAAATTGGTGTATAAACACAAGCTCAATTGATGGCAATGCAGAAAACTTGATCCCAAATATATAAAAAAAGCATGATCTTTGAGGGCGATAACAAACATCTTCAAGAACTAGTTACATGAATTTTATGGAGGAAGTACTGAAGCATAAGAACAAGCTCAATGATATTAATGTAGAAAACTTGGTCCAAAGATATAAAATTATGATCTTTGAGTGCGATAATAAACTATTAAGAACTACTTATGCATAACTGAGAATAGATATCAACTTATTGATCAACAAAGTTGCTTCATGTCTATGTGCATAGATTCTGAAACAAAATAATCAAGCATCTGATTTTCTAGCAAAGAAATGTTACTATCAAAATTCATCTTTGTTTTTAAAAAAACTTTATATCTCAAGATTTTTAATCAATATATTATGAAAATCATTATGTTGTTTTACTGGAAGATAAGAAGTTAATCGTTAAAACAAAAGGAAAGGGAAATATTATTAAAAATTTAGAAAATGTGAAGTTTGATTTTATAAAAAAAATTGAAGTGCTAATTACTTATACAAAACAATTTTTTTTTAAAAAAAATACATTTTATCTAAATAAATTGCTGAGTTTTCATGAAAAGCTATATGATAG